GGCTCAAATGGTCTCCAAGCCAGCATTCACAGTTAGTGTTGTTTTATTGTGTGTTTGGTTATATTGGCAAGGAATCGATCACTAGGAGCTACTCTGCTATGGCCAAACTTTTAATTCGGACCTATACTATTATCAATTGCACCGTCTGAAAGAAGCAATTATGTTGCATCAGCACAACGTCAAAACACACACATCAATAGTGACTGGCCAGAGGTTCTGAAAGTTTGGTTGGAAGATGCTGATATAACCACCTTATTGTGCGGACTACACACTTAGTATTTACTGTCTATTTCTTATGATGGCAAACGATTTGGGTAGTGATGAATTGGCCTTAAGAAGAGGGGTTTCTTAGAATAGCAAAAAGTTCTCGGGAGAAATGTAACATATTTGACATAAATCGAATAATTTTTACTATGGTAAATTAGGCCTTAAATTTAATAGCATCATAAAATGAATTACTTTTTACTAGACCATCGAGGTGATGGTGATTTAAATCCAAAGTATTGGGACGTAAAACGAGCACTTCTTTTAATTTAGTCAATGCGTGACTAAATTACAATATTTTTCTCAGCGATTCGCTTAAAATGACGGCATGACTTGATTTCGCCAGGTCCGTCTTTCTGTCCATTTATACGCAATATAGTCCCTCTGTTTTGAGACAATTTGGATTGGAATTTTGGTGATAAGTATGTCGAAAAAGCATCTAGGAATGTGAAACTAGGTATTCTAGTCGAAATTCAGCCAAAAAACATTTTGTTGGCTACGCGTATATAAAGTTTAATATAGTGACTGAAATCAGAAGACTTCGTCATATATGAGGCGATTAAAAAAATTTCGGTAGGTTGGGCAGAAAAATAATTTTTTTTTTGCATTTATTTTTTGTATTTAAACTTTGTCCTTTTTTATTTCTCCACATAGTCGCCATTGATTTCAGAGCATTTCTTACGTTCACAGATTCACTTCTGAGGAAAGTCCTAAAAATCTTGCTATCAGCATTAACCACTTTAATTATCCCTTCGTTGCTATTAAAGATCTTTCTTTTCCAATTTTTTTTTACTTTTGGAAATAAACAGATATCACTAGACGCAATATGCAGGGAATATGGCGCTGGATGTATTTCTTCGAGCCTAGAGATCGCAATAAAACTACGCGTTATTTCAGCAGTGAGGGATCTTTCTTCCTGTTTTCCAATAAATTTTTGAAAACATTTCACTCTTCAGTGTACCATTTTGTAATTACCGTCTTACTCTTTTCCAGTCGAATACGATTTAAAGATCGTTTGAAGTAAACTGACATCATTATTTTTGCCTTTGATTTTTGCTGCTTAAATTTTACGGGTGGATTTGCTCCTGTTAGGCTCCATACCATGAACTGTTGTTTGGTTTCCGGATCGTACTTATAGAACCTAGTAGCTTCGTTACCAATAACGATTTTATTAAAGTTGTTAGACTGCCCATTTTCGAATTTGTTTAGGAAGAAATGAGCAAAATGCACTCGAGCTTTTTTTGGGCCTCATTTGAAATTCGTGGTATCCGTCGCGCAGAATTCTTTTGTATACCAGATGATTACTTAATATGCGCGATACAACCGTGGGATTCAAGCCCAATTCATTGACAATCATTTCTTGTGTCAATCGTGAGTCTTCGTCAATCTTGGAATTCACCAGAGTTACAGTGACGTCAGCAGTGGAAAATATAGTCGATCTTCTCTGGGTTCCTCTCTACGGAGATATACCGATCTGGCATCTTCGGAACCACTTACAAAGTCTTTAGACTGTGCAATCGCTGAATATTTGCCAGAGGTGCAGTGATGTCATCATTGACGAATTTTGCTCGCCCTTCTCGGGGCTCGTCCTCTACGGAAAAATATCCTATCTGGAATTTTTGGAATCACTTAGAAATAGTCTTTGAAGACTGTGTATTCGATCCATATGCAATTTAGTACTCAGTGAATATTTTTATCGGCAGTAAATTACGCTGAAATCCGAAGGAAATCTCATGGCGAATTTCTGTTTGCGTTTTTGGTGGAATTTCGTCTGACCAATTCTCAACTATCTTGCGTTTTCTAGTCTCCATTTTAGCCGATCGTTGAAAAATTTGAAAGGAGGACTAACAAAGTAATTGCAAAGGATTTGGTATTTATAGAATTAACGATAACAAATTGAAAGTCATCAACTGACCGAATCTTTGTTAATCCCCTCGTAGTACCCTCCAAACAAATCTTTCAGATATGACAATTAAAATTTAACCCTAAAATGAAATACAAAAACTTAATTTGGTTATGAAAAGCAATATAGACTCCAACATGGTCGAAGACAGATTTTTTTACGATGTTTTAAAATGTTTTTGATTCTAAAATCCTTTTCATTTCTTGATTTCTTATTAAATTCTTTTATAAATTAAATTTGTTTTTCTCATAAAAGGCGTAAGTAACGAATAACGAAACAACAAAAATTTTACATACATATACTCTTACTATATTTCCTACAAGGCACGTGACAATTTTTTTCTCGCGTGACATATGTTCACTGTTTGCGTGAATAATTGAATGTGGCTGGTTTTTTATTCCCAGTCAGTGGCATACCGTTCTATGTTTGTTTTTGTTTACCCTCACATGTCTTTTTCTATGCTCAGATAAATTGATGCAGGTGCGTAACTTAAATTCAAAATAAGGGGTTTTCTTCCGCATCCTCTTGTAGAACGTTCTTATTGTAAACAGTGTTTTCGGAATAAACTTAAACTATTAGACATTTGAAATTAAATTATTGGCAGTTAATTTAAGACCGTTGTTAATGCAATTAATTACTTAATTAATAAAGTGTCTGTGTGAACAGCGTGCTACTCTTACTCGCAGCTGAGTCAAGTATGAATAGACATGTTTTTGTATTAATAAGATGCATTCAGAGCATCAAATGGCTGAAAATTTGTTAAATTTTAACGCATCAAAGACTGGTATTATATTTATAACTAAATTCCTTTTGTTTCAAAAAATAAACAAAAATTAATAAAATTTATGTAAAATGTACAAAAATATAATTTCCGCTATGGAAGTTTGAATGCTCTCCTGCTCGCTGCACTTCGGTATTGTAAACTAATACTGCCTCTCCCACTCGTTTACTGTGACAACACATTAGACTTTGCAATCGAATAGTAAATATGGCTTGACAAATTCCTGTTGTTTAACATATGTATGTTAGTCACCTTGACAGTCTTACATATTTGCATTTGCATTTGCCAACTGTGTTTTGCATATACATATACTTATATATAAATATGCACATGACTGCAAATGTGTGTATAAGTATATTCATAATACAAATAAAAAAATGCATATATACAAACAGCTCAGTTGATTATGCGGTTGCATTTAGTTAGAAAAGGTTACGCGAATCCAGGACTTGCACGCAACTGCCGACATTTCCTGTAGATGATGGTAGTTGCCTCAGGCTTACATAATGTTTTTACTTTTATACCACTATTAAATGAGTTCGTTATACTTGCAAGCATAATAAAAAACGTCTCTAAAATGCATATAATCTTCCTGTCATTTAAATCCAGTCAGAGAATTATGTAGAACAAAGACATATTAAGAAATATACATGCATTTACATACATAAATTATATCAAATGGTTACGTGATCAACTTTTGTTGCACGAATCGCAGGTCCAAACAAGTTTCACGCTAGAGTTTTTCAGAATAACGTTTTATAGGAAACCCTGTAACGAATAAAAATTCAATGTAAATAAAATATAATGAAATAAAAATTAAAATAGAATAGAACAAAACAAAAATTAAATAAAATTCAACAAAATAATGGACTATAAAACAAAATAAAATAAAATTAAACAAAATAAAATAAAATTGAATTAAATTAAATTAAATTAAATTCAATATAATAATGAACTATAAAACAAAATAAAATAAAAATAAACAAAATAAAATAAAATTGAATTAAATTAAATTAAATTAAATTAAATTCAATAAAATAAAATAAAATAAAATAAAACAAAATAAAATAAAATAAAATAAAATAAAATAAAATAAAATAAAATAAAATAAAATAAAATAAAATAAAATAAAATAAAATAAAATAAAATAAAATAAAATAAAATAAAATAAAATAAAATAAAATAAAATAAAATAAAATAAAATAAAATAAAATAAAATAAAATAAAATAAAATAAAATAAAATAAAATAAAATAAAATAAAATAAAATAAAATAAAATAAAATAAAATAAAATAAAATAAAATAAAATAAAATAAAATAAAATAAAATAAAATAAAATAAAATAAAATAAAATAAAATAAAATAAAATAAAATAAAATAAAATAAAATAAAATAAAATAAAATAAAATAAAATAAAATAAAATAAAATAAAATAAAATAAAATAAAATAAAATAAAATAAAATAAAATAAAATAAAATAAAATAAAATAAAATAAAATAAAATAAAATAAAATAAAATAAAATAAAATAAAATAAAATAAAATAAAATAAAATAAAATAAAATAAAATAAAATAAAATAAAATAAAATAAAATAAAATAAAATAAAATAAAATAAAATAAAATAAAATAAAATAAAATAAAATAAAATAAAATAAAATAAAATAAAATAAAATAAAATAAAATAAAATAAAATAAAATAAAATAAAATAAAATAAAATAAAATAAAATAAAACGAAAATAAATGAAATGAAATAAAATATAGTTAATGTTAAATAAAGTAAAATGAAATAAATGAAAATAAAAAATAATAGTAAAAAATATAAAATTAATTAAATTTATATGTAAAAAAAATCGAACGAAAAAAATTTAGTAATAAAAAGTTAAACATTTTTTAAATTAAATTAAATGAAATGAGGTAAATTTAACATAAAATAAAATGAAATTAGAAGATAATTTTTTTTGTTATAATTTTTTTTATTGATACTATTTGCCTATTCGCACTCATGAATTTGTATATCACATTTAATCATAATTATTTCAACACTTTTCAGATACGGCGCACATCCAAATCCACCCGATGGCGGTGCTTCCGTTGTACATGCGCTGCTGGAGAAACTCACTGAGAATGGTCGTAATTACGTATTACAAAATGTGTCGTGTTTGCAAATTTTACTACGCAACATACCGATGATTGAGATGCCGTACAAGGTGAGTGAGGACGTGTGCAGGCTTGATGCTGGTAGTAAATTCCGCTTAACAAGCACAAAGTCACACATCTCATGCAATAGTATATACGTGTACATAGTGACTCCCAAAATATCTAAGTATGTGTACATGTGATTTGGTTTGGGTAGGCATTCATTGGAAAACTTGTTTAAATACACGGTTCCATAGTGAATTTCATGAGGTGTGGGCGTGTCAACAGCATTAAGGCAAATTGTAAATTCCAAGCTATATAAGCGGCAGCAGATATTTGCTGGTTTATTACTGTTCGTATGCACAACATGTATGTATGTACGAGTATGAGTGCAAATATGCACGACATTCGGTGGCTAGTAGGTTAGAAGGATGCGCGCCTTAGTTTATTGCTTCCAAATTTGCGTTCGAAAGTTGAAAATATGCCGCTGCTGTTGCGGTTATGGCCGATTGCTGTTGATGGCTGTAGTTAAATTGTACTTTGCGGCTGATAACACACACACATACACACCCGCACACAGCTCACACACGGATTTGGTGCAATTGCATGAAAAGTTGCTATTTTCGGTAGGTTGTCTAAGTTCGATTACGCCATAGTGAATTGTTTGCTGGATTGAAATCTCATGGCATTGCGGCTCGTAGTAGCAACAGCAGCAACAGTAGCAGACACGCCAAGTCGCAGACTACGCTTGTTTCCTCTACAACACCTTCCAAAAGAAGTGCGGACCATTGTTTGTGCGTGTATTAAAGGAGAACAGATCTTTAAAGCTTATTGGGGCTATGGAATGCTGTTAAATTTTCGTAATTTGTATGAGAGAGTGTTTGAACGTCTCAGATTAATTTTTTTCAGGGAATCAGTAAAGCTTTACTGAAAATTTCGACAGTCAGGATACCGAAGGTCCTTAGTAACATGTTTACTGAACTGGCAATGACTTCACTGTAAGTGAAAAGTTCGACTACGCGTTCAGTCGCCTTCTTTAATTGTTAAAAAAAAAAATACACCGAATGGAAGGGGCATTATTCCACGAATATTTCTTGATTACTCGTCCTTTTATGAACAGAATTCGGAAGCGTTCAATATGAAAATATATTACGAAGTATTTTTCACTTTTTCTCATGCCTTCCTTTGCACTGAGAGACTAAATAAAAGCTTCAGGAAGAAAAGTTCATATGTCCAGGAATCAACAGTAAGTGGGTCAATGACTGTCGTCTTTCGAGAACTTTTAAGGTTTAATATCGTTCAGCTCTCATGCTTAAAGGCCTAACCAAATATGGGAACTTCTCAGCCTTTCTGCAAAATTCTTAACAGTTTAATGAGAGTCGCTCTCAGCCTCACGAATTCACCCCCCACTGCTGTGCATAATGGTAAGAATAAGCACAATTTAGTAGCATAGTCTGAAGTCATTGTATCAAAGTGTGCGTATGCGTGTATGTGTGTATGCATGTTGAGGTGTCAAATCGGCGCTTGTGGCATTTGAAATCCTGTTAACTATACTTCATATACAAGATGTGCCTTCTCTACTTGTCAAGTGCAAACTTTTTGGAATTTAATTATATTTCTTCACCTTTCGGCTTCATTGTTTCCCTCTTCTTCTACACACCAAATATTTACTCAAATTTCACTGCGCACCTTTAAATAATTGCTTTTCTGCTCTTTTTATTTCACTGCATACTATTCATAGCACACATTAATTACTCTCTCTCTCTCTCTCTCTCTCTCTTGCACACTCACACATATTTGTCTTCCATCTTATTTTAAGAATTTACTATACTCCAATATACCTGCTAAATATTTTCAACAAATTCTTCTTCTCTCCTCTCTTCTATGCAGCCAATTAGCTACAGTGCACGCCGTGAACTGTTTTTTGAGAAATATGGTCGCCTTTTAATTGATCGAATCATCACGAAAGAGCAGGTGTACGGTGTGGTCTCCTTGCGGCATTTGTGTCGGTAAGTATTTGAGTGCATTTATACACGATATTTATCTTCAGTCACCTTTGGGGCTATTTAATTTGGTTTGAGGCGTTCGAAAAATTGATTACATTAAAATTTAATGAATTTCGTTTACTTCATGAAATTTTTAATATAATTTGTATGTGGAAATGTCTGCATAATTGCCAATGTGTGGCTTCAATTAGAATACGTAGTTTTTTTTTTAAGTTAAGTAGGTTAATTTAAACTGAGTACGAGCTTTAGGGATTAATAAGAAAGTTGTTTTCTTTAGTGAGAGAAATTCACTTCAAAAATTGTTGGAAATTTTAAAATACTATACTTCTCAGATAACGAAATCGGAAGCTTTTAGCGCGCAAAAGATGTTTAGTAATGATCAAATTATTTATTTTTAGGAATACAGAAAATTTCATAATTTTATAAATGTTAAGCAAATCATGTCCCACAGAAGACGAGACTGCTAATGCTTTTTCCAAGTCAGCTTGTAGAATCAATGACAATATCAAACAACAAACATCATCAAACATCAAGCAATCTGAATATGCTGTCCTCGAAGCTTTGTTTGTTTTCTTTCGAATGAGCCCAGTATCCGATTTTTCCCGTGACGTTTATCAAATACATATGTATTTCTTTATATATATATAAAAGACTGTGTCTTGAATGACAGACGAATCGACTCACAGCCTAAACCACTGACTGGGGAGACCTGAAGCTTAGGTGTTGTGCTATGCACATGAAGTAAGCATCCGATAAGAAAAGATTTTCAGATATGTGTACCTGGGACTGATCTAATCGAAGAAGACGAAGTTATTTTGAACATGGCGGTATCGAAAGTTTTTAGCGCGGGAAATATGTTTATTAAATATCATATTATTTATTTTTAGGAATACAGGAAAATTTCATAAGTTTCCCTTAGTTTAAGCAAACATAAATCATGTCCCACATAAACCGAGACTGTCAGTTATTTTTTCTAGTTTCATTTTTGTAGTCTATACACCTTGTAAAATCATTTTGTAGATATCTAGCTTTTTTGCTTAAATTGACATGGGAAGGATTTTTTCTTCTAGAAGGTGGAAGTGGAGCTGATTTATACGAAAAATCTTCTTAAATCGTTTGACTTACATAAGCTTTAACAGAGGTAGTTTTTAAGAATATATGGGCAGGCCTTTTTCTTCCGGAAAGTGGACTTGGAGTCGATCTGTTTGAAAAAATCATATATATTTATTTACAGATGTAGCTTTCTAACTTAAAGAACAGTAATTGTAATTTAAACTGTCCGCGGAGAATATTTTTCAGCACTTTTTCTTTGTTAAGTTGGTAGCACTGTCCTTAATTACTATGCCAAAAATGAGCGCAATTTGTCAATCAGTCAAATGAAATGAATCGACCTCAGTTCCCTCTGCGAATTTTCTTTTATGGCTTTAATCAAGTCGAAACGGGTTCCACTTGAGTTTTTAAACAAAAAAAGTCACATAGGCCCAATCCGGTGAATACGGTAGTTGATTGATGGTATTGAACGAGTTTTTGGTCTTAAAATCGTTCACAACTACAGCTCAGTGCGAAATTGAAAGCTACCGGAAAATGATGCTGCAGAATTCCTTTGCTTAGATTACCACATCTTAAGCCTTTATGGGGACTTTTTCTTGATATCTGGAACATGGTTGGCTCTTTGCCTATATCACTGTCCAACCCAGCACTGATCTACCGCAAAGTGCCATACTATTTTGGTTCAATTTACTTAAATTTTCAGAGATGTTCAACACGCTTTCCGCTTTAAGCAGTATTAACTCAACGAAATGAAATCGTTAACGTAGAGGTCATAAAGAACAAATGACGGTTAACGTTAATTTTAAAATGGCTTCTTGGCTTTGACAGCTAACGACAGCTTTTCTTTTCAACTTAAAGCAAAAAAAAAAAAAATATTTGGACCGAAACGATAGAAAATTTTCAATTCACGGAACCACATCTGTAAATAATCATCGCTACGAAAACGTGAAAATGTGTGGCTTACGGCGAGAATGCTCTAAGTGAAATTCGCACCCAGGAGTGATTTGCTCGATATCTTTCGGGAATTTAAATATCAAAGAGGATCCTCTTTTCTGTTCAAAATCGTATCATTTCTGAAAGGATGAGTCCTTGATGATGAAAAATTAGATAAATACGAGAACGTAAACGGAGAAAAAATTTTAGTCAAGGATCGGTGACCCTCCACAAAAAAGTTTAAAACCTGAATTGCTGGCAAACAAGTTGATGTTGAGTTTGTGGTGTGATTGTAAGGGAATTGTTCATTATCAGCGTCCAGAACTCCTAAATAGAAAAGGTCTCTTGTCTCAGCATGGCAATGCCAGACCACATAAATCTGTAATGACTAGGTAAAAAGGTTTGTTGGGAAGATTTGATGCATCTTGCCAAGAATTATGCATCTTAACTATTTCGTGGACATGATATCTATCCTAATTATATAATGCTGCTTTCTCCAGACCCGATAAGGAAGCGAAACAAACGGGTCTGGTAGTGACAGTCATAACTTTGAAGTCGTATCTTGGAACCAGTATTAGCATCAACAAGAATGTCAGCCTGCAAATCCACCGCAGAATTATCCTTGCTAACAGATGCTACTTTTGCCGTGAGCAGGCTATTGAAAAATAAAGTCCTCTCTCGGCGAACGAATACCAAAGACCAAGTCGCTCATCATACCCGTCCCACTATATGGCGCAGAAGCGTGGACGATAGCAATATTTGATGAGTCGGCTCTATGAGTTTTCTAGAGAAAGGGTTTGCGAACGATTTATGGTCCTTTGCGCATTGACATCGGCGAATACCGAAGACGATGAGTGGTACGAGCTAAATGCCACCCGAATGGATGAAAGCACTCCAGCTTTGAAAGTATTCGATGAAGTACCCGCTGGAGGAAGCAGAGGAAGAGGAAGACCTTGGAAGGCTCAGGCAGGTGGAGAGCGACCTGGTTTCACTTGGTATTTCCAGCGACACGAATGGAGCGCTAATATTGATTCAGCTATAATCGTGCCAACGTCAATCAGATCTTGAACAATGCGACAGTAATATCTACCAAGATTTTAGGAAAATTTGTATTCTGCACTGTTTAATAAAGACTCATAGTAGAGAGAATAGTTTGCAACAGTAATGAATTTTGTTGTGGCTACAGGGACTTGACAGAAAGGCAATCTGTTCAAGTCTAAATACAGCTCGATACAACTTTCTTAGGAAAATCATCTTTGCCTGTATACTAAGGGGATTGAAGGTCTAAAATTGTGAGCGGTCTCGTAATTACTCAATAATCAAGACATGTAATCTTCAATGAGACAATACTTTTTTGGAGTTGGTCTTTTTGACTACTGATTTATACTAAGTTGGAATTGAGATTTCATAAAGAACGGACTTACTCGGGAAAAACTTCGCAAACAGAGAAAATTCATTATCATTCGGTGGGTGCAGTACGGCGTCTCTGAAGATGTTTATTATCCGCTTGAGTAAATGCGCTGGGAAATCGACTTATGGTTGCCCGAATTGCCGACTCTGCTGGCCGAGTTATTTGTAAATTATTTTGATAATGAATTTTTTCAAACGTCGTTCCGGAGTAAATCTGTTCAAAAAGACGGATAAAGTCAGTGGCTAGAATGCTTGGCCAGCCGCAGACCGAGTGGAAGGGTGGCGTGAATCGATCGCTGTAGAGATAGGGAGCTTCTGCATAAAAAAGGTGAACTTCTATACCCTACTTCAGGTATAAGGAGAAGGAGGAGGAGCTACCATCTTTCATAATTTATTTTCAGAGGAAGTGGGGAACCGCTATGATTCAACCCTTCTAACCATACTTACGAAATCAATCCCTACAAAATTGATACTCCCTAGCTTCTGTAATTATATTAGTATATATAGTAGCAGTATATTCAAACAAACACAAATATTCATGTCCTCTAAATTTTCTTGAATTTTCACAACAACTCAGCCTCTATTAATAATCTGCCATATCATTATTAACACGTTTCACCCAAGTTCACATAATTCAACAAAATGCGCCGTTATGCGCCCTTTAATCCTAATTAATTAATAAACAAATGGCCAATATAATACGGCAAACACTTAAATATAAATGTCATTGTGATGTATGTAAATATAAACAGTGCTAATAGAATTTCCTCCAAGCACGTCAACATCGTTATATAAATACATACATAGGCACTTTGAAGGATTAAACTTTTGGAAATTATATTGCATGAAAACCGTTTAATCATAATCGCGTATAATAATTTTCTTTTAGCAATATTACTAATTAACCAACTCGAAAATTGTCGATTGTCAATCGGGTCTGTAGCAGCTCCCAACAAAGCAAAAGCAGCTACGCAAAATGCTACTGTAGTAAATGAGCACTAAATAAGTCGCTGAGAAAGCAGACTGAGAGCTAATTTTGTAAGCGTGAATGCGCAGATATTACCACGAACAGAGGCGTGGCGAGAAGCACAAAAGACAGCGAGAAAGTGAGGTCCATTAAGCCAAGCGGGTGCTAAATGGTGGCTAAAAACGCAAAAAGCTGATAAGTCATCACGATAATGAAAGTGAGAAGGAGGAGTGAACTTAGTGTTCAATTAAGGCCAAAAATGTATTCCCATCACATACAATACAATACATATATATTAATGACGGGCCAAAAGTGTAATTTTGTTGGAATGAATCGAAACTTTATTGAAAATTGATGAAAGATACTGAATAAGTTTTTGTTTGTATAAGTATAATAAAGAAATAAGTATGAGCGATTGTCATTAAGAAAAGCTCTATGGCATATAAGACAGTTTTGATACCTAATGAGCGCATACAGTGAGGAGCAAAAATGAGTCTTTGCAGGTTTTTAAAATTATTTTAAATAGAGTTTCAGAATATATATTATTTAGAGACGTTAATAAACAAAAATTCAGTGACTTATTAAAAAACCAAGCAAAAAACAATTTTTTCTTGGGAATAAATTTGTGTTGCTTTAGTTTTCG